GTGTGTGTGTGTGTGTGTGTGTGTGTGTGTGTGTGTGTGTGTGTGTATATATATATACATATATACCACATCTTCTTTATCCATTCATCCGTTGGTGGATATTTGGGCTCTTTCCTTTGGCTATTGTTGATAGTGCTGCTGGAAACATGGGGGTACATGTGTCCCTTTGAAACAGCACACCTGTATCCCGTGGATAAATGCCTAGTAGTGCAATTGCTGCGTCATAGGATAGTTCTATTTTTAATTTTTTGAGGAACCTCCATACTGTTTCCAGAGTGGCTGCACCAGCTTGCATTCCCACCAACAATGCAAAAGAGGTCCTCTTTCTCCGCATCCTTGCCCACATCTGTTGTTGCCCGAGTTGTTAACGTTAGCCATTCTGACAGGTGTGAGGTGGTATCTCATTGTGGTTTTGGTTTGTATTTCCCTGATGATGAGTGATGTTGAGCATCTTTTCATGTGTCAGTTGGCCATCTGGATGTCTTAAAAGTGAGTACTTTTCAACTCTTTATCAAAGTGAATTTTTGAATCTAGACCGATAAAGACCGTAAAATGACAAACCCCTGTGTATCTAGCACATGGCCCCCAAATCATCAGAACACGGTCAGCACCGTGTTCACACCCCCCGTACTCTCACTTCCACCCCCTGTGTTATATTGAAAATCCTAAACATCATACTATTTTTCTTGTATACATGTTTCTTAGAGTTTTTTTTTTAATTGTTGTAAGAACACTAAAAATGGGTTCCACAGATTTTTTTTTTTTTTAAGTAGGCTCAACGCCTAACTTGGGACTTGAACTCCAGACCTGAGAGTAAGAGTCACATGCTCTACCAGCTGAGCCACACAGATTTTTAAGTGCCCCATACAGTATTGTTAACTACTGGTACAGTGTTGTACGGCAGATCTCTTATTAGAGATTCTTCGTGTTGTCTGGCTGAAACTTTCCGCTCACCATTTCTCCTTCCCCCTGGAGGCTGCCAGCATCCTGCTCTTTGCTTCTGTGAGTCTATTTTAGACCCCTCACCGGAATCGAATCATGCGGTGTTTGCCCTCCTGGGACTGGTTTACTTCAGTTAGCACGACGTCCTCCTAATTCATCAGCCTTGCAGCATATGTCAGGGTTTCCTTCTTTGTCTTAAGGCCAAATAATATATTCCGCTATAGGTATATACCACATTTTCTTTATCCGTTCATCTGTTGATGGACCTGAAGGTTGTTTCCACACCTTGGGTAATGTGAATGAATGCTGCAGTCGACTTGGGAGTGCAGGTGTCTCTTCAAAATCCTGATTTCAGTTCTTTTGGTTAAGTGCCCAGAGGTAGGATTGCTGGATGATATGGTAGTTCTCTGTAAACGATAGGCTCTTAAGACTATAACCACACCAAGGAAAACAAACAAGCAAACCCAAAACAGAACGTGTATTAGTATTATGTTTCTTTTTAATGCTGAATAATATTGCATTGTGTGGCTGTACCACATTTTATTTATGCGTTCATCAGTTAATGGTCGCTTGGCTACTGTTGAGTAACACTGCCGTGAATATCCATGACAAGTTTTGTGTGAGCCTGTTTTCGTTCACACGGGACTTGTGGGACTGCCAAACTTTCCAATGTGGCTGCACCATTTTCTCTTCCCATCAGCAGTGTATGAGGGTTCCAGTTTCTCCACATCCTCACCAACACTCGTTATTGTTTATCTTCCTAGTATCTCTGTGGTTTTCATTTACACTTTCCTAATGGCTCATGACGTTGAGCATCTTTCCACGTGTTATTGACCACTGTGTATCTTCTTCTGAGAAATGTGTGCAGATCCTTTGCCGATTTTTTAATTTGGCTTTTTCTCTTTTCATTAGTGGGTTCTAAGAGTTCTTATATATATTCTGGATATGAGGCCTCATCAGATTTGGTATATGTGCTTGGCTGAAGAACCAACGGGGCGAAGCTACCAACTGCGGGATGGTGACTGAATGCCTCCAAATCCAGTGCGGAGAGCCTCTTGTCCTGGGAAACAGGGTGCAGCCAGAAAGGGGCTGCTCCCTCGCCCGTCACACGATATATGTTCATGGAGAGCCTAGAGCTAAGCCATTTGTAGACAGCCCATTTGTGGGTTGGGGTTTCGTTCCCGGCAGAGCACCTCCCTCGCTGCAATCTACTGAAAGTCAGCCCTCGGCATAAGGGTTTGTAAACAGAAGTAGAAACAAACAAAAAAAAAAGGTCTTATCACATATATGAATCGCAAATATTTCTCCTGTTCTGTGAATTGTTTCTTTTTTTTACTTTCTTCGAATATTGCTTGCAGCTCAAGAGTTTTATATAATAAAACAATATAGTTCAATTTACATTTTTTTTCCTTGTTATGCTTCCTTTTGCGGTCCTATCTGAGAAACCATTTGCCTAATCAAATGAGTTCTGAGAGTTTTAGTTTTTAGCCCTTACTTACATTTAGGCCTGTGATACATTTTGAGTTAATTTTCGTGTTTGGTGTGAGACAGGGCTCCAACTTCATTCTTTCCTTCGTGGACATCCACTTGTCCCAGCATTATTTATCAGAAAGACGACGCTTTCTTCATTGAATTGTCTTGTCACCCATGAAAATCATTGGACTGTAAATGTAAAAATGTTTGTAACTGGACTTTGAATTCTTTTGATCTGTAGGTCTCTTCTTATGCCAGTGCCCCCACAGTCGTGGTTCCTGCAGTTTGAAGTTTGTTTGCTAATTTTTACATGAAATGGGTTTCCCTGAACCTTAGAAGCACAGTTCACCAGCACGCTTTCTCTGGCTTCCTGGTTGTAGGGCTCCCTCTTCTGTTGCTCTCATGAAGTGTTCAAAAGTAGGGTTTCATGATTTCTGAGATCTGGTTCCATTTCTCCCTTCCGCTCTTTTGGGACCATCCCTTTCTTTTCTTCTTATACCCATGGCCTACTCAATTTGAAATCGTTCCCAACAGTTTATAATACAAAGGTATAAAAAGAAAAAAATTGGGGTCTGGCTCTGCTGTCCACAAGACCCCTCTTGACAGTTTTTACAAACGGATAGTGTACAAAAAATTTTTAAAAATTTAGGGGCGCCTGAGTGGCTCAGTTGGTTGAGCGTCTGACTTCAGCTCAGGTCATGATCTCACGGTTTGTGGGTTCAAGCCCCACATCGGGCTCTGTGCTGACAGCTCAGAGCCTGGAGTCTGCTTTGGATTCTGTGTCTCCCCCTCTCTATGCCCCTTCCCACTTGCGCTCTGTCTGTCTCTCTCTCTCTCTCTCTCTCTCAAAAATAAATAAACATTAAAAAAAAT